TGAGGTCGGGGATCACAGGGGTCGGCCGAGCGGGGGTTGCGGGGTCCTTGAGTTTGGTCTTGCTCTGGGCCACCACCCTCGCCATCTCCTCCAGGTGGCTCTCGGGGACTCTGCCGATCTGGCTGCCTGCATCACTGCCGGGAGCAGCCGCCTTGGCCGGAGCTTTCGCCTCGGGCTTTCCCAGCTTGCCCAGGATCTCCTATATTCCACGGCGCACGTCGCCCATGCCACGCTCGAGCTCCTCCACTCGCGTGGCCCATGCTGGAGCAGCCTCGTCAGGAGCCGGCCGCGGGTTCCTCGCCAGTGCCCTCCTCCGCGGTCTGGTAGTGGAGCCGGTCGCCCGCCGCCTCGACCAAGTCGGGGCGAACGGGATGCAGTCAGCGTGCTCGGCCTCCAGGGGCTCTCCGAAGGCCGTGCGGAGCTCCAGGTCGGCCGCGCCAATCTCCACGATCTCAACGTAGTGGCCCCAATCGGCACTGAGACGGCCGATCCAGACGCGCACGGCCAGGGCCTCCAAAGGATTCTCACGGTCCTCCGGGGCAACCACTCGAGTAGAAGCGCCTCGGGGCAGCTGGAAGCAGCTGGTAGGCACCAAGCGTCGAGACTGGGTCCGGTGCCAGGCCTTGCCGGGCAGTGCCACAATCGGTTCCCCACTTTCGCTCTCGCCCACCACCGCCAAGGCAATCCACGGCGCAGCCTCTGCGACAGTGCTCCGAATAGCCAACAGGCCGTAGTCAAAATCAGGACCTGCAGATGTAGCGAGGGCGTACCGGCGCAGGTCCAAGCCGAGTTCACCCTCTTCTTCCTCCGCCTCAGCAGCCATCGGCCGGCCACCTCAAGCCCGCCGCCGCCACTGCACGCTTCGCCTCCCACTTGCTGGGAAGGCCCACGAAAACACTGTCACCGAACTGCTTCGCAGGGCCCGGCCCAATCGACACCAAGGGCTGGGTGTCCCGCCAGGTGTTCTCCACACGGACGGGGTCGTAGAGGTTTCCCGCGGCGTCGCGGGCAATCACGTAGATCCGGTTCGCCAGGTTCAACCTCTCGCGGCCGCTGCTGCCACGGTTGTTCCCCGAGAG